TATTCAAATGTAATGTCAATCGACATCTCCAGTTGACTTGATCTATCCACTACCCTCATTCTTTCTTCTATCACTCCTATCTGATATTGCTCTAAATGTTCTGTAACCCCTTGCGTACTAGTGGCTTCCCGCCTTGCTTGGGGTGAAATACTTAAAAAAAATAGCTACAAGACCTCATCTTATAAATATAGACAGATCCCGAAGAAGGCCGGAGAGTACAACGACCGAAACTTCGTGAATATAACAATAAAGATAAGGACAGCAGTCCGAACCAGGTAAATAGTGTAATCACCTAAAATAGCTCATCTCAGAAATATAGACAGATATCAATGTAATATATAGAAAAATAATGCTTGTTTTCATATATACAAAAAGAAGGTTTAAATGCTTATCAAACGCCAACTGAATGTAATGCGTCCGGTCAAGAATAGTTTATGATTAGCAGAATTTGCTCATATTAAAATAGAATAAAATCTGCAATTAATTATACAATATTCGTATCTGGATCCTGAGGTGCAACACATCGAGAAACTTTAAATCGATCTTTGATAAGTATTGTGAATGTTTTTGTTACATTTTGCTAACAATAATTATTACTGTAAATATCTATTGAGTGCTTTATTGACAAAATAAAATGAATTACTGGCAATGGCAGGGAGATAACAGAAGATCTGCCAGGAATGGCGAAATGTTGTAAGAGCCAGGGTACAAAATTATTGTAGAAAACTTTGGGATTGTTACAGTCCAGAATGATGCTGATATTTCACCATTCTAAAAATAACCATGCCATCAGTGTCGATAGAAAAGGAGGATGTTTTATCGTCCTATCCTCATCATTATAAAATCGACCCTTCCACCACAAGAGAATTAGTAGTGTAGAGAACCGTAGAAAAATAGTCACTAGACCAGTAGACAAGTAGCAGTATAGAAACACGTCTTTGCCAGCGCTCCGGGAAGATTGAAAACAGACGATGTTAAACGCCATCCTCACAAACGAAATTTTCGGAACCAAATCAAGTAAGCGCGCTGCTGACTTTTAAGCAAAAGAGACACTGAGAACATTTTTGCACACACCGAAGCAATATTCTGTAATTCACATCACAAAAAGAAAATATAAATTCTTGGTACTTATGTCAACACGTGTCTCAAGTTGCAATTGTTGTTATCACTGTACGTTTTATGCATTTTGATTTCATATCATTTAATACCAACCCCGGTACACCATCAAGGTACTATCTAAACATAATAAAACTTACATACCATTTATTATAGTAGCATAAAAAGAGTTTAAGACTTTGGACTCTGTTCATATTCATTAAGTCCAGAAAAGTAAAAGTAATTCGTGAACTTTTCTATTTTTTTTTTAGTTCCTCTCAGCATGTAAGGAGGTAGTCCTAGCTCTTTTTGGGGAATATATCAGCTGTGCTCTTCATGAGGTTATTAGTGCTTTGGGGGATTACATTTTCAGTAATACAGTTGGGTAGAAAATGCCTTGTCTTATGGGGTGCAATCAGATAATAGAAGTTTGCTCTCTTGTTGAAGTAGTTCCCATGTTCATACAAGAGAAGTTAATGATCAAATGAAGGTCAAATATGGCTCGGAATCCGTGAGGATGGTAAGATAAAGAAAAAACTGGAAGCGTTTTTCAGCCTAACAAGTTTCACTTTTATTGCAGATTTATCAGAGTTTGAGAAAGAAGAAACAAATTGTATTTTCATTTTTTTGTGTTTTAATTTCCATTGACCGCCTAAATTAGAAGCTTTGTAACCTTACAAACATTAAGAATTGTCTACGATTATAATGAACGTGATACATGACTGACCAATGACAATAGAATCACACAATATTGAAAGGTACCGGAACTTAGCTTCTTTCTCAATCTCTGGCGAAGTTTTAATAGAAGATAAACATGTTAGGATTGATAAACGATTCCTATTTGTTATTTATCTTATCATCCTGTCGAATTCCGATCCATATTTGATTTACATTTGATATTTACTTTAATACACAAACACACACACACACACACACACACACACACACACACACACACATATATATATATATATATATATATATATATATATATATATATATATATATATATATATATATGCGAGTTATAAAGCTGATCATGAATTCCATTGTACTGTCCAGGTCCGGGCATAAGTTTTGGAGCCGCAAATAGAAAATAATTATAAGGTGCGACTGAAATATTGCGCTGGTCAGTTGATGGACTAGCACAAAATATTATCTCCCTTTTCCGCCGAGGGTCGCCACCGGATATCGGTTTCGGGAATCGATCAATGGTCAATTGTACGCGAAACCAGATCAGATGAAATGGATTCGCTAATTAATGGCCCTCTCATCTTGTTCGATTATTATCTGTCGACATAGATAGCAATTTGGCACGAATCGATTGTCGTTAATTCCCTCTGTTCAGAAAAACGGTGCCCTTTACAAAAACCTTTTGGGATACGTGACTATTCTCTTTCCAATGCTATCGCATAGAAGTGCCAAATCGATGGTGCCAAACGCCATCAGCACCATTATTAGGATGCTAATGTACGTCTGTACTTCCTTTACATCGACCAGAATTGTTACATATATATATATATATATATATATATATATATATTACCGGGTGTAACAGTAAAATTGTCCAAATCTTGGAACAGCATAAGTAGCTTTCCCTCAAAATGTTTAATATCTAAAGTAACTGAGTTGCCTACTTCGAGGTTTTTAGACAAGTTGATCAGCCATCTTGACATTATTTGTCGTTAGAATCACAGAAAACCCCTTTGAGACATTCAATTAGAAAAAAAAAACAGGTTTAAATCGTTTTATGTCGGCCCCAATGTCTTACCAAATGAGCAATGGTGAGAGGAAAAAGATCATACAGATCTTCGGTGATGGTACCAACATTCATACTGTGGCTTCCATCTTCAAAGTCCATTTCAGAACCATCAAGAACGATTTGCTTGTAAACGATTTAGACAATTTTTGCACCCTTACATGCGGTATATATATATATATATATATATATATATATATATATATATATATATATATATAAAAGGGGCAAACAATATTTTGAATCGTAATCACGATCCAACTGATCAGACCTACAAATGATGGATCGTGATGATGATTCCACTATAATAAATTATAAACATGGAATATGTCCGTGAGAGATTCATGGCTGATTGAAGTTTAAAAGCAGTAAATTCGACCTTGCTAACCGAACAATCCTCTGTGGCCGAATCGGTTAAAAGGCACGTCAAGCTAAATGACAGTTCCGTATAAGATACAGGTTCGATTCCTGTCGGAGGTCACATATTTTCTATGAAAATTTCCCGGACATTTAGGCCGGTAAATGTTCTTCACACTGTTATTATAAACAGAATTTTCTGTATAAACATAAAAAATGTCGGACTTTGTCCATTTCATAATATATATATATTGTAATCAGATTCATGTTAAATACAAACAGGATGATAAAACTATAAAAAAAAAAAACTTTCAAAAAACTCTGTCCTCAAGTTCACATACAAAGATAACAAAATCCCTTTCTTTGATATTTTAATAGACAAAAATAATAACAGATTTACTACCTCCCCTCCATATAAAAAAAAAACAACCAGTAAAACTCTTGCATTCTAAACTATAAGAGTGAATGTCCTAATTACAAAATTGTACTTAAGCAGAATTTAATTAACTGAGCACAAATTAATTCCTCCCAAAAAAGATTTTCTACTCTGAAAAAAAGATAAGCAGACTTATTAATAATGTCTTCCCTAACCACATTGTAGATGAACAAATAAGACGATTTATCGAAAACCTCAACACACGTCAAATAGAACATTGTACTTCCTCAAAGGACCTTAAATATCATTAATATATTCTTATATTGTAACCAGATGCAAGCTAACTACAAGATGAGAAAATCATAAAAAAATAATTCGTATTAATATATCTACCATGGATCCCGGTGTTCTTATAGGTATTTTTATTTTTACAAAATAGTGCTCGATGTAAATTTACAGAGCATTAATATTATAAATTAATTGATTTAAATTTGTTTTTTCCGCTACACAGTTCTATCCATGTTTCAAAAATGGAAGCTAAAAGCCACTAATTGAATTTTGCAATTAAATTGGAACTAATGTCTTTAATTTAATTGCAAAATTAAATTCGTGGCTTTTAGCTTCCATTTTTGAAACATGGTTAGAACTGTGTAGCAGAAAAAAACATATTTTAATTCAATTAATTTATAATATATATATATATATATATATATATATATATCCTGTAGAGTCGGGTTCAATCTATGGTCCTTAGAGAATTGCCATTTAATTGATAGCACTTTTAATAGTATATGGGATGTTCCCAGTAGGGCGATCTTCTGGACAACTTGTATTATATAATGCTTGCATGAATGTAAATTTCCCGATAGTTACTTAAAAACATGATAAAGATGTCGAGAAAAAAGAAAAATGAAACAAGATATTCCATTTGAAGAGAGATTTATTCTTGAGATCAACAATTAAAAAAAGACAAAAAATTCAATTCAGGGTTTGGGGATTTCTTTTTTCTTTCTTTCTTCTGTCAATGCTTCAGAAAACTTTATATACTATAATTCATCCCCCCAAGAAGAATCCTTGTAGGATGGATATCAGTCGGGAACATCAATGAGCGAAATACTAAGATTTCTTCATTGCGCATGCCGATAATTGGTCAATAAATAAAACGAGGCGTCCATTTCAAATAAGAAATATCCACTACTATAACGTTTGAAAAAGTAAAAATGTCGAATTAAATTAAATCCAGTCACCTCTCTCTCTCTCTCTCTCTCTCTCTCTCTCTCTCTCTATGTATGCGTGTGATTGCGTATATATATATATATATATATATATATATATATATATACAAAATGCAATAATGGATTCGGGATGCTGGAAGTAACATCAATCAGTCAAGTGACAAAACTTTGGCTTGTATTAATGATAGATAGATAGATAGGTAGATAGATAGATAGATAAGAACAGTGGTAGATAGATAGATAGATAGATAGATAGATAGATAGATAGATAAGAACACAGATAGATAGATAGATAGATAGATAGATAGATAGATAGATAGATAGATAGATAGAATGAAATTTTAGTAAATAAGGTTTTGAATACTTTTGTATACATAAATCAATATTCAATATTTCATGCTAGACACAATCGTCGGAGCTGACGATTGCGTCTAGCATGAAACAGCCTGTCGCCTCTGAGTGTTGACTTCTATGTTCACTTTTATATTTACACACGCTCTATCTCTGATATTGAGCACTTTATCCCATAATTATAGCACACTTTTAAACTATATTTATTCATATATATATATATATATATATATATATATATATATATATATATATATATATATATATATATCGATCGATTGATAGACAAATAAATAGATATAAACTGAATGAGATAGATAGGTAACTAGTTAAATATAAGCAGGCTTTGATAGATAGATAGATAGATAGATAGATAGATAGATAGATAGATATTGACTGGCTTGCAGAGATACATAAGTTTGCGAGATAGATGAGAGATAGATATTAAATTGCCTAGATAGATAGATAAGATAGATAATAACTGACGCACATATAGATAGATACGTAGATATATATCAACTGACATGTAAGTATAGATATATAGATATTAACTGACTTGCAGAGATAGATATATAGATAGATATCTGTAAGATATAGATAAGAGAACGTTATTAACTATCTTGCACATATAGATAGCTGAGATAGATATTAACTGACTTGCAGGTATATCTATCTATCTATCTATCTATATATATATATATATATATATATATATATATATATAGATATAGATAGATAGATAGATAGATATTAGTGTTAAAGAATGGGTAGTTTACCCCAGAATGATACACCATTAGTCAGAAGTCTATGCGACGACCTGAAAGAACTCAATAAAACCACAAAGACTCAATAAGTTACTGTGAGTGAAAAAAAAACCCTGAGAAAACATGACTGAGTAGATAGATAGATAGATAGATAGATAGATAGATAGATAGATAGATGCATAGACAGATAGAAAGTGGGTGAATGAGAGAGGAGAGAGAGAGAGAGAGGGGGGTATAATCGAATTACATGTGAGTGTGGTGTAAATCCAGTGGGCGTAGATTTGTGACATTGATGAATTGCCCTTGTTTCAGTTGTTGATATTGCACCAAGACGCCGTGAAGACACTGAGGCGACTCTAGGAATTAGAAAGTTCGAGATATCTTCTGCACCGAGATTCGTTAATGAGGAAAAAAAAACCTGCATGTGGCAATGAGATTTGGGCAATATTTTGACATGCGTTTTTCCGATCATCTTTCGATCGTCAAGATTTCCTCCTAGAAAATATTCTACAAATATTTGCCCCTCATATAATAAAATGGGATGAAAAAGAGAAAACTGAAGCTACAGACGATATTATACACAAGAAGATCAGAAAGGATTACGTTAGCGAAACAAGAAACTTAGCATAGGACTTACGGCTACATCTAGCTAGCTCAACTGTAAATTAGTGAGATCTCGACGCCAGTCGAGTACTGCTATTAAATTCATAAATCTAGGTACCTCAGCGAAGAGCTTACCATGAAATTATTCATAGAAAACGCACAGGGAAGCAACCTTACGGGGGTGGGAAAGCAACTGAGGTCGATCCGCCAGATCAGGACCAATAATATTGCTGATTCTTTTTTGGATCTTATCAAAGATCTCAAGGTGAATAGCAGGGTCACAGGGCCATATGTGGCAGCAATATTTAAAGCATGGCCGAATAGTACTTTTTATAGATATGTAAGATAGATTCTAGTGAGAAAAATTGTCTCGCACGACACAGTGAACCGGCTTTCTTCGTAGCTGACCTTGTAGTAGATTCAATATAGACTTTCCCCTTTATTCCAGCTGAGAATGTTAGCCCTAGGAGGCGCAATATCACTTTCTTGGAGGTTAGCATCAGCCATGCTGATGGAAGGCAGAGAGGACTCTCTCAGAGGATCAACGCCGACAAGTTTAGTTTTGAAGGCTTTAAAAATTAACAAACCAATTTTTGCCCCAGTTAACGACGGACTTGAGGTCGTTCTGGACATCAGATGCCATTTAGGTTTTGAGGCAGGAGTAAATGGTTGGGTCATCAGCGTAGATGCCAAGTTAAGAGCTGATGCCATCGGGAAGGTCAAGAATGAAAATGAAAAATATAATACGACCAAGGATGGATCCCTGGGGGACACCCGCGTTAGTACGAAAGGATCTAGACGAGTGGCTATTCAGGATAACGTTCATTTCACGATTTGATAGGAAAGTCTGGATCTGTTCAAAGGTGTGTCCAGAGACACTGTAACTATTCAGCGTATAGATAAGACCTGTATGCCAGACCCTGTACAATCTGAAAATGATTTTCTAGATTGACAGTAACCTTCAAAAAATCACAAAAAATCAAGCAATGGATCGATCATTTTGCAATGCTTCCAATAGCGAGAAAGAAATGCATGTTCATTGGGTTACTCACTTGTTTTCCTCTGTCCCTCCTTCTCTCAATATACCTTGTGTCTTACCCTAATGTACATATTTCGAATCGTACCTAGTATTTTATTGACAAAGGCGACTCATCTTAATATTCAAGATGAGTTACCTTTTGCACGAATTCTTCGAACCAAGACGCTGCAATGTTGTGAAAAATGGCCATTACTTTTTTTATCCATGCTGAACATGTTCAGACTGCTCGTCACGCTAGATTATAATAATTTCCCAGAAAGTGTAACCACGGAGCAGCCCAAGATGTTAGGGGTAATTGGAAATGCCAAAATCAGGTAAGTAATAAAAATCTAAATATCTGGGAAGTGTCTTAACCGAGTAAGAAAAATGTAACACCGAAATTCAAAGTTTACTTGGAATAGAGAATTTTTTTTCTCGACCGAGTCCATCTTTCAAATCTATAAATCAACCATTCGCCCTTGCATGGAATAATGCTATCATATATGGTCTGGGGCCCCCGCTGTTCGTCTTAAGGTCCTCGACAAAAATCCATAGATGGATATGCAATATTGTTGGTAGTGATCTGGCATCTCGTTTACAGTCGCTCTTTCACAGGCGTGCCATCGCCCCCGTCTGTCTTTTCTACAAATAATTTCACGGTAACTGCTCCGACGAGCTATTTTCGCTAGTTCTCAAACTGAATGAATTTAAACGTACCACTAATTGGGCATCTCAGCTCCACCCTTTCACTATGGAAACAGTTAAGTATAGCCGTCTCTTCGACTTCAACATCTTCATGTCTCGCACTTCCCGTCTGTGGAACTCCCTTCGTATTACTTGCTTTACTGATAGCTATAATCTCCAACTATTCAAATGCAATGTCAATCGACATCTCCAGATGCCTTGATCTATTCCCCTTCCTTCTCTTCATCCTTTCCTCTACCACCGCCTCTACACTGTTGCTCCCATTCTCTGTAACCCCTTGCATGCTAGTGGCACCCCTGCCTTGTTTGAGGTGAAAAGCTTGAAAAATTAGTGAAAGGGTCCTTCCAAATGATAAGCAAAGTGTGGAAAAAATCGTCAGAAACAAAGAAAAAAATACTAAACTATTATGTAGTCTCGGGCATCCTATATTTCAGTGAATGCTTGATAATTTTCTTACAGATGAAGAAGAGACCTGAGGCAACAGAAATATTGTTCTACAGGAGGATGCTGAGAATACCATGGGCTGAACATGTTAGCAATAAAGCAATCTTAAGTTAAATTCAAACCGAAAAGATAACTGATACTTACAATCAGAAAGCGCCAGTTGAGATTTCTGATGGGGAAAGAAGGCTAAGAGAAACTAACACTCACAGGGTATATTGAAAGAAGGATGGACAGTTAAAAGCAGGGAGTAACATACACAATGAGTACGTATAAATTGATGGCAGAAAGAAAAGACAAAACTTATTAATATATACAGTAGAGAGCCATGAATGGCCACGACCTGATGGTCACAGAAGCAGATAATCATCTTTTCATTGAGATGTTCTGCTATTCTCATATTTCAACGTCAGTAAACTTTAAAATTATTATCAGGATTGTGTCCGTTCTGTCGCCAATGGCAATGCATTCATTCTAAATTTAACCTAATCTTATTCATCCCCAAGTTATCTGAATTTGATCCATTCCATAGTTATTGGAACAATATCCATTCCAAAGACCGAAACTTTATACATTTCTAATTTCCTGGCAGTTTATTCATTTCAAAGTGATCTGAATTTTATCCGCTGGTGGACGATTATCCAACATCAAGTTTATCAGTGTTCAATCCATGATGTTGCATGGAATATTTTATCCTCTCCAAGTTTATCGGAACTTTATACTTTCCAAATACACCGGACTTTATCCATCAGCATTTCATCAGTTTTTGATATTGTCTAAGATTAAGACAACTTTATCTCTTCCAGAGCTATCAGAAGTAGGTTCATTAAAACGAGAATTTTATTCAACATATCTTATGAAATTACAGAAGAGATCACCAATGCTCATTGTTACAGTTGAAATTCTCTTTCATTTTCTTTCGCAAAATTAGATTTATTAAAACGAGAATTGTAAATTTTATTCAACGTATCTTATGAAATTACAGACGATATCACCAATGTTACTGTTAAAATTCTCTTTCATTTTCTTTCGCAAAATTAGATTTATTAAAACGAGAATTGTAAATTTTATTCAACGTGTCTTATGAAATTACAGAAGATATCACCAATGCTACAGTTGAAATTCTCTTTCATTTTCTTTCGCAAATTTCTTAAAGTTTCGGTATCATATGAAAATCCCTAATTTTTTATTAAACTAATCGTTTCAGAAAAGTCAACTATGATAAGAAACGTGTGCTGAAGAACAAAGATTACAAGCGCTTAAGGATAAAAAAGTCGAAAACTCGACATTGAAATCCGAAAACGGATTTCATTAATCTGTACAGTGAGGCGATTCATTATTGGCTGTCATAATCTTAACAATATCAACAGGTGACATATTGTTGACACAGACACGGAAAATAAACTACCGGAACACCTATTAACGGAAAGCGATAAGAAAAGATTAAACGTCAATTTTTAGAAGAGACTATTTTAAGACACTTTTTATGTTTATACGTTCTTTTTAATAGTAATTTTTTTTAAGTAAATGCTCTGTTTATAATAAACAGTATTAAACAACATTTACCGGCCTGAATGTCCGAGAAATTTTCACAGAAAATATTCGTCCTCCGATAGGATTCGAAACTGTATCCTATACGGAACCAGTCATTTAGCTTGACTTGTCTTTACCGATTTGGTCACGAAGAAGCGTCCGGGTAGTAAGGTCGAATTTACTGTATTTAAACTTCAATCCTCCATGAATCTCTCACGTACATTCATATCTGCTCAAAGCGCATCCAAATGTAATCAAATGATGTCACACATTATGAAATGGACAAAGTCCGACAATTTATTTTTTTACATTTTATATTTATAAATGTTCTTTTATAATACAAATATTTAAGTAATGTTCTGTTTATAATAAACTGTATTAACAACATTTACTGGTCTGAATGTCCGAGAAATCTTCATAGAAAAGCATAGAGAATTGTAGTTTAAAAACAGTTAAATCGACCTTGTTAACCGAAACGCTCCTTTCTGGTTCAATCGGTAAAACACGTCAGACTATATGACGGTTCCGTATAGGATACAGGTTCGATTCCTGTCGGAGGAAACGTATTTTTCTGTGAAGATTTCTCGAACATTTATTCCGGTAAATGTTGTTAATACTGTTTATTATAAACAGTGAATTTGCTTAAATATTTGTATCTATAAAAAGAACGTTTAAACATCAAAAATGTCTTTAAATAATTGTCAGACTTTGTCCATTTCATAAAGAGACTATTTATAGATGACAGCAAATGCAACTGCATGGGATGCGAACTAGGATTTTGGGACATTTATATCAAGCAAATTGTTGTAGAGTGGTTTCACAGTGGAGGCGAGTCGGTCCTAAAATAGGTTCGACGTACAAAACGTTAGGAACTTGATATAATAGGTAATGACGCAGTAATATAGTTGTGGTGGCTGATACTTTAATATCCGACTAACGGTCGTCCGACATCGACTGACTGACTAACGATATTTAGTCGGCCAAAAATATGCACATTGAAGCTGTATAAACGGGTTCAGGGTCGGTTTACCTCCCCGAAAGAGAATCCGCCCTTCGGCGTAGCCTCTTTCGCGTTCCTCCCCGCCCGAAGGCAGAGAGATTAACCGATCAGCCAGTAGACTGACTGACCAACTCACTGAGCGACTGCTACTACTCCTACTTATTATAGGTGGGAAAGTCTATTAACTATAGAATAGGTGTGTTCCCCTATAACACAAATACAAAAATTTAAATATCTAGGACTAACTTTACCATGGAAAAAATGTGATATTGAAATCAGAAGGCTCATTGGAATTGCGTAAGAGTCCTTCTTACTGTGAAGGGAGAAAGTAAGAAACAGGAAATAGTCGATAGAAACTTAAAAGAGTACTGAAATCTTACATGATATCAGTCCTCCTATATGGCAGTGAATGCTGGACAATCTCCTCACAGATGAAGAAGAGACGGCAGGCAGCAGAAATGTGGTTCTACAGAAAGATGTTGGGAACACCTTGAACTGAACACGTCAGAAACGACAAAGTTTTACATAAAATAGGAACAAAAAGCACACTTATACTTGCCGGTGTAACAGCAAAATTCACCTAAGCATATAACAGCAAAATAATGACTTGTTCATCATTAATTAAACCTAGCTATGCATCGGGAGCTCATGAAAGATTGAAATAAAGTTCATATATATATATATATATATATATATATATATATATATATATATATATATTATTCCAGGGTCATTTTCAAAATTATTTAAGATGGTTTTCGCCCTCTCTAACCTTTTTTAATGTCCTGTCCTGGAGTAACAGGGTGCCTCACATGTTTCACGTACGATTTCATTTTCAAGCTTTTTTTCACTGCTCTTTGGACTGTCATAGCTGAAACTCCTCTCTCGAGTTCCAAACGTCTTATGGGTTGATTTGTATCTTTTCTGATCACTTTGACTCTACGATGAAATGATGATCCCTCTTCCTGTTGTGATGTCCTGATCCAGTTATCCTCTCTAATGTTCCCACTTTTTAAAACTTATTCACCCTTCTCCTGATGGTTCTTGAATGGACTTTCAAGATAGAAGCCAGAGTATGAATGTTGGTAACATTACTGAAGGCTTGAATGATCTTTTTCCTCTTCCCATTGCTCAATTGAGAAGTCAATGGGGCTGACACAAAACGATTTTAGCCTGTTCTCTTTCTAGCTGAATAACTCAAATGGTTTTTCAGTGATTCTTACGAAAAAAATATTATCACGATGACTGAACATGTTATCTGAAATCTTGGAAAAAAGAAACTGAATTAGTTTATTGGCTTTCTATATATTAAATATTTTGTGGGATGGACACGATTTGGACAATTTTGTTGTTACACCTGACAGATCAGAAAGAAATAATTGAAACTTCCTGGGTAGTTAACGAGGAAGGTGTGTTTAGAAAAATTTAACACTCACAGGACATGTTGAAAAGGAGACAGACAGCGGAAAGCAGTAAATGAACTGCTTAACGAACCTGTTCGTATGGTTGTCAGAAAAGTGATTTTGAGAGAGTGAGAGACAGAGAGACTGAGAGACAGAAAGAGAGAGAGAGAGAGAGAGAGAGAGAGATCTAAATGGCAAACATTTCTTTGCGTTACAAGGGACAGGAAGTTGTGGAGAACAATGACTGCCCTCGTCCTGAAGGAACAGGACATAGAAAATTTAATTTTGCTCTAATGTTTTCTCCTTTTTATGGTAACGTTTATTCAGGTGATCGATCTATATTATGGAATAGTCAGCTTTAGTATCGGAAATAAAGACTAAACCCTCTGTGTGACAGGAAACCGCGTCACTTTAGCCTGGGGCAAGCCTGGCCAAACAGACCAGAACTTCTAAACGACTGACCTTCACAGATTCGCAGATCAACTCCTTTCAGCTCATATTTTATTTCATGTAATTAATCGGTGGTATATTTTTTATAATCAAACATTTAGTAACAGCTGCATTGAATTGCTTTGTTATCAGTCTTATTTGCGTATTAAAGCCATGCTATTATTGCATCTAAACAATTTAACTACGTTTAAAAATGGTTGAATAAGTTTTATCAAATAAAAAGAAAAAGAACGTAAATATTGCTTTGACTAATTTAAACCTCAGAGATGATTTCATACAAACTGAGAAATATTTGCATTAGAAAAACATTTTTACTGTAACATGGTCGCAAATCTGAGATAAAAATGATTTTATTATAATATGATTGCAAATCTGAAGTAACCATTATTATAGTGTAATATGATTGCATCTCTGAGATAAACATCTTTTTGTATGCTAATCGGATCGCAAATCTGAAATAAACACATTTTTTATTGTTATATGATTGCGAAACTGAGATAAAAATGTTTTTGTTGCAATATGATTTCAAGTATGACATAAACATCTTTTTTTATTGTGATATGATTGCATATCGGACATAAACATCTTTTTATTGTTATATGATTGCATATCGGACATAAACATCTTTTTAGTTTTATATGATTGCACATCTAAGACAAACATCTTTGTATTGTAATAGGATTTCAAATATGACATAAACATGTTTTTATTTTTATATGATTGTAGATCCCAGATAACCATCATTTTATTGTTATATGACTGTATATCTGACATAAACATCTTTTTATTTTTATATGATTGAACAGCTAAGATAAACATATTTGTCTTGGAATATTCTTTCACATTTGACATATACATCTTTTTTATTATTATATGATTGCAAATCCCAGATAAACATCTCTGTAGTGTAATATGCTTTCACATATGACATAAACATCTTTTTTATTGGTATATGATTGCAAATCCCAGATAAACAAATTTGTATTGTAATATGCTTTCACATATGACATAAACATCTTTCTATTGCTTTATCTGAGATAAATATCTTTTATGCCAATATGGTCGTAAATCTGAAATAAACATCTTTGTACTGTAAAATGATTGCAAATCTGCGATACAGACAACCACGTACTGAGGGTTACAAGACCTATTATTCCTAAGCAGTCACCCATCTTGGTACCGAAGTTGCTCGACTTTGCTTACCTTCGGTGATCATAGGAGATTTATTGCAATCTAATATAGCCTTAAGTTTACTTATACTTAGAATAAATATGATCTGAAATCTCTATATACATGTTTAAAGAGTTCTTGGCGAATATGACACACATACAGGACATATTCAAGTCAAGAGAGACAGAAGAAAACATCCATGCACCTAAACTTGTGTAAATGTATGGCAGATCAGGTTGTGGGAGTGTTTTCAGAAGACAAACATTGCTAAGAGCTAAAATAATACTAAGCGCTATGGTCGCCCACATCTAGGACATTCTGCAATTCTTCTCTGTCAGTCATCATCACAGTTTCACATGAATGTTGTTCAGATTACACCCACAAATGTCACCTGAATGTTATCTTTATTGTTCCGCAAATTGATTGCTGAGGCATTTCATGGCAGGAAGGAGTGTGTTCTTTTTTGATTAGAGATATTCTGTACAAAACGCTGACAATTGCAGTTTAGTACTGGTCATTGAGATAACCTGCACCAGTGTGATTATCTCATACTAGAAAATGTTGTACATTTTCCAACAATTTATGAAGGATCCAGAAAAAATTAACATCGATATTTCATTTCCAAAATTATTGGAAAATTACGAATAAGACATGATTTCAAATATGACATGAACATATTTGTATTGTTATATGATTGCAAATCCCTGATAAACAAATTTGTATTGTAATATGCTTTCACATATGACATAAACATCATTTTTATTGTTATATGATTGCATATCGGACCTAAACATCTTTTTATTGTTATATGATTGCAAATCCCTGATAAACAAATTTGTATTGTAATATGCTTTAACATATGACATAAACATCATTTTTATTGTTATATGATTGCATATCGGACCTAAACATCTTTTTATTGTTATATGATTGCAGATCCCTGATAAACAAATTTGTATTGTAATATGCTTTCACATATGACATAAACATCATTTTTATTGTTATATGATTGCATATCGGACCTAAACATCTTTTTATTGTTATATGATTGAAAATCCCTGAAAAACAAATTTGTATTGTAATATGCTTTCACATATGACATAAACATCATTTTTATTGTTATATGATTGCATATCGGACCTAAACATCTTTTTATTGTTATATGATTGCAAATCCCTGATAAACAAATTTGTATTGTAATATGCTTTAACATATGACATAAACATCATTTTTATTGTTATATGATTGCATATCGGACCTCAACATCATTTTATTGTTATATGATTGCAAATCCCTGATAAACAAATTTGTATTGTAATATGCTTTCACATATGGCATAAACATCATTTCTATTGTTATATGATTGCATATCGGACCTAAACATCTTTTTATTGTTATATGATTACAAATCCCAGATAAACAAATTTGTATTGTAATATGCTTTCACATATGACATAAACATCATTTTTAGTTTTATAATATTGCAAATCCCAGATAAACACATTTGTATTGTAATATGCTTTCACATATGACATAAACATCATGTTTATTGTTATATGATTGCAAAGCACAGATAAACAAATTTGTATTGTAATATGCTTTCACATATGACATAAACATCTTTTTATTGTTATATGATTGCAAATCCCAAATAAACAAATTTGTATTGTAATATGATTTCACATATGACATAAGCATCTTTTTTATTGTTATATGATTGCAAAGCACAGATAAAGAAATTTATATTGTAATATGCTTTCACATATGACATAAACATCTTTTTATTGTCATAATATTGCAAATCACAGATAAACAAATTTGGATTGTAATATGCTTTCACATATGACATAAACATCTTTTTATTGCTTTATCTGAAATAAATATCTTTTATGCTAATATGATCATAAATCTGAGATAAACATTATTGTACTGTAAAATGAATGCAATCTGAGACACAGACAACCGCACACTCATGGTCACAGCACCTATTATTCCTAAGCAGAATAATACGTTCTAGATTAAAACTTTTGGCTGTTCTGAAACAGTGTGCCGAATCCTTAATCTCTCCTGTATTCAATCAATTCCAAGTTCTAACATCCGCAGGAGATAAGACTTAATGCAATTAAATTCAATGTCATTTGATGTTAATTATGTTGATCATGTTCAACATAGTCTATGAATATAGAATGCAGCGCAGCACGTAATCTGTTCAATGAAATAACGTTAAAGATTAACACTCACGAGTCAGACACTCTACTGAATCTGACTATATCGCCAATACCACTAGCAGCTGTTCCGTAATTCTTCAGTCTTCGATATCAAAGGTTGGCAGTGCATATTCGGGAAAAAAACATGGCCACCTTTATACATGTCGCATTGAATATTTTGATCCTTCTGATTGGTTAACCCTTCCATTGGTGAACTATAAAATGAGTCAGCTCATTTTGGCTGCCTCACTAGTACACCAGGGTACCCAAAAAACTCCAACAAATTAACAAAGCAACAATCATAATGAAGAGTTACCAAATAAGAAATAAATAAGCTTTTAGAAACTTGGGGATTGGATTCAGTCAAGAGAAAATGAATTGCGAACCCTGGGGGAGTACTAGAGAGTATAGAAAAGATATGGATGTCGAATTTTTTTAATCGCGTAACAATAACTTCCCTTTGAGCGTCAGCGAGATTCTCTAAGTTGCTGAAAGTCGGTTTTTAACGAAGATTATTGACAGACTTGACGGAGCATATATGAGCTTTCTTTGAGCTATAATGGGTGCAATATAGAGAAAATTCGAAAAGATACAAGGACTTCTACAGAAAAATGTGAAATATGATTGCATTACTACGGATTAAAAACTTGTGCTTCATTGGGCACATTTGTAATAGGAAAGAGGAGCTGTTAAGTTCTTTTGTGTAAGTCTCTACATGGGCAAAGAAAGATGGCGGCTGAAACATATGTGGATCAGCTAAGAAACGATGCTAATTTGAGGAACTAATAAAGAATATAGGAGACAAAGACGGATGCAAGGAACTATGAGGTTATACGGAAAATAATGTCTGATTTTAGAATCAAATTTTATTCTTCAATTAATGTATGTAAACAATATTTAAATCAATCAAACTTGGCAAAAAAAAACATGAACATTTCTTCCATTGAATTAAAATTTTATGTCGTTCCTATTAAAATCTAAAAGCAAATCTTTGAATATTGTTTCTGTAACTTCTTTGCAACGGAATGTCTTTTGGTTTGGTTTACTTTGTTTTACGGCATATCAACACCTCAATGAGTAATTTCATACCGAGACGACTTGTAGAATAGGTTCGTATGAATAGAATATGTTTATTCATGGTAAGAAATCAGTTTTTAGATCAGGTTTCTTTGATGTATTATTATCACGCGGTGGTGTCTGTAAACATGTCTTTCCACTCCCTCACCAGCCACGCGCCTCCTGTCAACAGAGTACCTTCCTGTTATCAACTCACAGACTAGGACGCGAACCTTGGAACGTAATTTTTAATAAATCCGTTTTAGAATGCGTTCTGAGGCGCCGTCTATGCTTTCATTCCAGCAAGGTAATACAAAATTAAATCGTGCTCACCTTGTTTCTTACCTGCCTGCTCAGCTGCTGTAGACCGCCAGAATTACTTCTTCCCTCTGTATCAGAGCGACATGCCTGAGTCCAACAGACGTCCCTTTGTCTCTGCTCGTAGTGAGTGCAAAAGTGTCCATATGAAGCAAAGTTACCGTTTGCTGACAGAATGAAACAACTTACAGCATCTCGCAAGTTGAATTCTAAAGACTATTGGCGACTCTGAAAGAGTGTACTGAATAACAGCATATCCTTAATCCCTCCTGTATTCAATCAGTTCGAAGTTCTAACATCCGTAGCAGATAAGACTTAATCTTTGCTCGTGAATTCTCATCCAGCTCAACACCCGTTTCATTGAGGCTCTTCTGAGTAATATGTATATAACCCCGTCTTTGGTCTTGGACATAATCTCAAAATTTGCCTCTCATAGTAATCTTCTAAGCGTAGATTAGATGTGGCACACAGCCGAAAGGATGGGGCAGCCAGTGAGGATCGAACTCACTACTCAGTCGCAATTGTTCTAGCGAGACAAGCTTGCTAACTATTACACCGCCTCGACGTGCCATTGGCTTTCATAAAGCAATTGGAGGTGACGAGATACCAGCCGTAGCTCTTAAGAAATGTGCCCGTAAGCTGGCTCAAGTTCTCTCCAAAATATACAACTATTGTCTCGCTGATTCTTGCTTTCCAACATGCTAGAACTTCTCTTTCTAGCCTGTTCGAAGTCCTCTGGAAACCCTTCTGGCCAATCTAACTACCGTCCTATCAGTCTCTTACAACACTTCAACAAAGTCTTCGAGGATTTCATCAAGTGGTTAAGCATCTTACCTCCTATGATCTACTCTCTGACAAGTAATATGGTTTCCGTTTTGCCCGGTATTTCGCTGATGTGCTTACAGCCATAACGAAATATGTATACCAAACACTTGATAATAACGTCGAAGCTTGGGCTGTGGCTCTAGATATCTCAAATGTGTTTGATAAGGTTGCGAATGCTGGCCTTCTACGTAAGCTTCAGGGCTACGGAATTTCACGACGATTATTTGATTTAATCCAATCATTCATATTAAATCATTAAATGAAGGTCGTCCTGAACGGGATCTCATTCTATTTCTTTCATATTAACGTGATAACATCAGTGAATCTGATGTAGATAAGAAACAGTGTAGGACCCAGCATAATACCTTGAGGTAATCCCCCAAGTCTCTATGCTGGATTCTATCACTTTTCAAGTAAGCAGCTATGTAGTCGCCACTTACCATTTATTCACGTTTCAATATTAAATCCAGCGATGTTGACATACTTACCCTGGCCGTTGGTTTTGGAAATGACCTCCAATCTGTTGTTAACTGTGCAGAAAATAGCTTGTAAATTTTAATGCATACAAAACGAACCTGGTCTCATTTGACCACCATAGAGAATATCCCCTACAGCCTATCTGTTTGATGCTCGAATTGGCGAGCGCATCACACTGCGCCTTCTTGTCCTCACGTTTCAACTGACTCGAGGTGAAACAACTACATTGAATCAATAACTGCATCTACTGCAAGGAAAGTTGGTCCTTTGAGTCGTGCAAGAAGATTTCTCTCGTCTGAGTTCATCTTGCACTTCTACAAATCTACCATTCCTCCATGCAGAAATCCCTCTCACATATAAATCTAAGAATTACGTCCTACATAATGGTCCGACATTAGCTAAATGGGGGCAGTATTGTCACCTATGTCTTACCGTTATGTGACACTCGTTTCTGGTGAGAGGAGATTATATGAGGGAGATATTTCTGCCACATCCTGCATAATCCATTACTTAGAAGTATATATTTATTTTCCCGAACGAATAAATCAACTTTGCGCCTGTCTTAACAGTATGATATAAATATTCATATTTAAATTTGACAACAATAAGTTTTCACTTGTCACCCGAGAGTCCAAAAAGAAAGTTAAGAAACAGAAAGCATATTTATTATTAGTATATATTAGAGGTTCTTTATTATACGTCGAGCACACTATTATTACCACTAGCACTGACTGTGTTCATATATATATATATATATATATATATATATATATATATATATATATATATATATATATATGTGTGTGTGTGAGTGAATGTGTGTGTGTGTGTGTGTGTGTGTGTGTGTGTGAAGAAACTGATATATATATATATATATATATATATATATATATATATATATATATATATATATATGTAAATATAGATAGATAGGTTGTTTGGAACATAATGAGATGTATAGACAGAGATAGATAAATAGATACATTTCAAAAAGAGCATATCCACATATTATAGATAGATAGATAGATAGATAGATAGATAGATAGATAGATCTTAACATAATGAGCTGCATAGACCAGTCCATGCCCACATATTGTAGATAGATAGATAGATAGATAGATAGATAGATAGATAGATAGATAGATCTTAACATAATGAGATGCATAGACCACTCCATGCCCACATATTGTGGATAGATAGATAGATAGATAGATAGATAGATAGATAGATAGATAGATATGAATAAACAGAAAAGGATAGATAGATATGAATAAACAGAACTTATCTTAACATAATGAGAGTCATAGACCAGTCCATGCCCATATATTATAGATAGATAGATAGATAGATAGATATGCACAGACTGAGATAGATAGATAGATAGATAGATAGATAGATAGATAGATAGATAGATATACTGTTAGGTAGAAACAACCAATATAGCTATATTACATGGAAGGCCAATAGCCGAAAAAAGATACTGCTAATCCGAATTAATGTTCACTGGATGTCTTCCAGGCCATTCTGTCTGTCATCGTAATGCAATTCTCGAGAGCAGACGCGGACGCGCCTTCGCTTGGATCTTTCTAAATAATTGCCGACAACTACAACACTGTCTTTTATTGTTCGTTGAGCAAAAACTTGAAATTGACGTCTGAGTAATCGCTCCGTCTTCTCCATAAAAGCGACATCAGTTCGTACCTTTTATCTTTCCAATCGGTCATCGACTTTCTTTTTATTCGAAAAGCACCAATAATAATTAACTCATTAGCTCGGTATCTTCACTCTTCACTTCGAGCTGTATTTATGTGTCCTTGTGCCAGACTCGATTAGTATCTTAATACGGTATTAACATATTTATTTTTAGCCAGCCCGCTTCGCAGTCTGTTTGGTTCGTGTAAGACTGAACTGTTACGTAGTATCCCCCCCTATATGGCAATGATTGCTAGACAATCTCATCACAGATGAGATTTGGAATAACGGAAATGTGGTTCTACAGAGAGATGTCCGAGGAAAACAATGGAACTAACCTGTGAGCCACGACGGTGTTTTAGAGATAATTCAAATAAATGAAGACTTATGTGTAAGGTCGGTAATGAGGAAATACAGCTTGGAACATTTGATACTCACAGGCTCCTCCTGTAATCCTCTAACTTTACAAGAGCCAGATCAGGCCAAATATAGAGTACTGTTGTGATGTCTCGTCAGCAGACTTGATAGAGTACAAAAGGGTCTCCGAGCCTTTGGTGAGTGACGAATTAATCTCCACCTTTCAACCCATCTCCCACGGGCTGGATGTGGCAAGATGTTCTACACATACTTCTATGGAAAGTGCTCGAACCTGTAAAAACACGCTTTGCCACTTACATAGTATTAAACCACCCACATGCCCTCTATATCCTTTATTACCGTTAACCACTGTCCTGTGGAACCAACTTCCGACAGGATGTTTCCCTGATTACTACGATGTTAATCTATTCAGAGATAGGTTTAATCGTTATCTCCCTCATCTATAGACACAAATGGACTCCTAACATAACCCTCTATCCCGTGTGGATTCCGGGCCTTGTAAAGGGTGGCCCGCACTGTAAAAAAAAAAAAAAAACAAACCCGGAGAGATTGAAGGCAAGAGGGACGGAAGAAACGACCTACCTAGCGACTTTGAGTAAACGGAGGGCGGAACTATGTTTAGGAGAGATAAGAAACGTACAACAGTTATTAAGATCTTCAAAGGACATGACATTGTGATGACCAATGTTCTGAATGGACACAATAGAAAGAAAAGAAAAAGTAAAAGTAAAGAAGAAGTAAAATAATAGTAGTAGTAGTAGAAGAAGAAGAAGAAGAAGAAAGAAAATGAAGAAGAAGAAGAAAAAGAAGAAGAAAGAAGAAAAAGAAGAAGAACTAAAAGTAGAAGTAGTAGCTGGAGGAGGAAGGACGAAGAGGTGGAGGAGAAGAAGAACTAATATATATATATATATATATATATATATATATATATATGTATATATATTTGTATAGAAAATAGGAAATAGGAAGGAACTGGTTAGGTAAATAATCCAAAGTCCCTTAGTATTTTAGTTATTATTTTTTAAAAATAGTGCTCGATACAAAAGTAGAGCATAAATATAATTATTTGTTTAAAGTTTTGTTCCATCTTCAAGCGAAAAAAAAATCTCTTGAAGATGAAACAGAGCTTATTTTAACTCAATTTAATTTAAATAACTATATTGAAGTTTTCGGCTCTTGTCTTGAAACATGAGACTTCTTATGTAGCGTTTTGGAATCATATTTTTAAATAAATAATTATATATATATATATATATATATATATATATATATATATATATATATATATAGTCTGTTAATATCTATCTATCTATCTATCTATCTATCTTTGTCTGTAAATACAGTAAGAAATGAAATTCAATGTCCCTCCCCGAACTCTCTGTGTGTATAATTAGCGGTATACAATTATATTTGTTGTAATTCGGCCACCAACACATGATATTGAACACAGAGCACAAAGGCTGTTTAAATCAACCAGCCCCCTGTTTTTTTTTCCTGGTAGAATCACTATATATATATATATATATATATATATATATATATATATATATATATTCCCCATTTATAAATGTTTCTTTTAAGGAAAAAATATTGGTGGTAAAACATATCCGGAAGTTGAGCCAACAAAATATCGTTTTAAAATAGTATACCGTCTGCTAATTAAAGAATACCGCGCGTCTTGTTCGACGTCGCTGGTTGGTTAATATATGTGAATGCAAAAACACAAACATCTGGAGCCTGTCAATGTACAAAAAAAAAAATGTGTTACTCTCTGTGAGCCCGTTTTGTGCCAAAAAAAATGTGTTTACAGTGACATTATTTAAATCTTTTAGAATTTGTCTAAAATTCCGAAACGTAGCTTACACACACACACACACATACACACACATACACACACATATATGTATATAGTCGACTCTCCGGTCGAATTCGCCGTATGAGGGTCAAGCAATTCAGTTCCCAGGAAACCGACAGCCCGACACCGGCACATGAGATTTGATTATAGTGGTGAAGGTTTCGTGCAGGACCATCCACACTTTTTGAAGGGCTGAATACAGAGACCTGTTGCACTAAGTGCCACAAGGTCCCCAAACGACCCTACGCAGGTTTTGAATTCAGAGTTGTCCTTCTCCTAGACCAGTTGCCATCCAAGGCTATAGAACCCAGTATGTCCTGCTATTTACCCATAGCTGGAGTGAGAAGAAGAGGATTCATACCTTTCCCAAGGGTATTAGCACGTAAGTGAATGTAATGGATTCGACTGGAATTCGAACTCAATCCAAGCCTCCTCTCTCTCTCTCTCTCTCTATATATATATATATATATATATATATATATATATATATAACCTTGTGCAAATTAATGGAAATAGCCTCATTAGTTTCCTTTCTTTCAATATTCGGTTAGTTTTAGACCCACTGGAGTGACAGGGTGTAATCGATTTCTGTTTTTCCCTAAGATAAGGTCCTTTGCAGTAGTGTGCAATAA